ACTAATAAAGGCTTTATATAAGTATTACTTATAAAGTATTAAGTATATATAAATAGAAAACTATTTAGTAGTATAAAGCATTAAAGAATAAATTAGTTATATTACTTCTTTATAGTAAAAAGCTATAGAGTATTAATAAAAAGCTATAAAGTTATAAACTAAATATTATAATTCTAAGTATAAAGAGATCTTATTTAAACTTAAGTAAATAGTAAAGTTTTTAATAAAGTTCTTTAAGTTTAAAAATAAAAAGCTAATACTATAATATATTAAAGTTATTATAGCTAAGTATATAAAGAGCTAAATATATTAAGTAGAACTCTTTAAGAAATATTATAAGTTTTATAATATATTTTTAGTTTTATTATTTAAGTTTTAAATAATAAAATAAGTAGTTATAAAAACTAAAATAAAACTACTAAAACTTAAAGAAGAACTTAAAAAGTAAAAAATTAAAAAAATTATTAATTCTTAAGGATAGAGTAATAATATAAAGTAACTTATTAAGTAAGTAGGATAACTTATTAAGTATAATATTTAGGAGCTAAAAAGCTATCTAAATAATACTTAAGTAGCTATATATAAGTTTAAGAAGTAAACCTAAAAAGCTTATAAGAAATAAAATAAAGAAAAATAGTAAATACTTACTAAATATTTAGCTAATTATTACTAAAGTAATTATAGTTTTATATATATAATTTAATAAGATTAATATAATATTAATAGAAACTTTATTTAGCTTAAAAAAGGTATAAAAAAGAAGAACTTATTTAGTTTTAAAGCTAACTAATATATAAAAGTAAAAAGTTTAAAAAAAAACTATAAAAACTATAATAAGAGCTTAATAATAAACTATTAAGAATAACTATAAAAACCTAAAAATATAAAACTTTAAACCTTAAGAGAAGTATTAAGATACTCTTCTCTCTTTTCTTTATTCTCTCTAAGAAGAGGACTACCCTCCTTACTACCTTACTAACTACTTTATTTATTAGCTTTATTATTATTATTATTAGAGCTAAGCTTCTTAATATTATTACTAGAGGGAGGAGGTATAATAAAACTACTAGCTTTATTATTATAACTACTACTAATACTCTTATTATTATAACTATTATAATAACCTTTTAGTATAAGCTTAATAGTAGTTTTAATCCTCTTAATAAGCTTTTTAGTAGTAGGAGTAATAGTATTATACTTTTTAGTACTTTTAGCTTTTATAGTAAGGTATTAGCTAGACTAAACTACTACCTAACTTATAGGGATCTTTATATTAATTATTATAAAGAATAGAGTAACTATTAATAATAATAATCTAATAGTTAGGAACTTTATTACTTATATACTTATTAAAAAGCTCTTAAGTAGCTTTTAAAAGCTCTAAGAATTCTTTTAGATCCTTCTCTAACTAGTTACTAAGGGGAAGTTAAGAATAAGAGGTATTATAAGCTAAATAGAGCTAATTTTAAAAATATTTAATAAAAATATTATTCTAAATATAGATAAGCTAAGTAGTATTAATATAGATAATAATATCTAACTACTTAGTACTAAAACTAATTTAATAAGAAATTAATAAGTATATATATATTAAACATTTAGTAAAAACTTACTTAAGCTATAGTATTAATTATAAATAATTTATAGATTAAAGTAAGCTTTTAAAGCTATAACTAATCTATATTATAGAAACTAATACTTTAAATAAGGTTTTTAATAAGAATAGCTATATATTCTTAAGCTTTATTTAGTTTATTTAGAATAAACTAAGTATATTAATATTTATGAAGAGTAAGCTTATTATTAGTTTCTAGCTTATAAATATAATTAATAATATTTTAATTAACTTAAGTAGTATTATAAAGCTTTTTAGAAACTTAAAAATCCTAATTAGTTCTTAATAAAAAGTAAGAGAGAGTAAAATAAAAATTTATTATAATATATTTAATCTTTTATTACTTATAAATAATATTAGCAGTCTAATTAACCTATATAAGTAGGTATTATAGTTCACTCTATACTTTTTTTCATAATATTAAAACCTAATAGCAGCACTTTAACTTATACTTAATCTTAATAAAGTAAATAAATAAATCTTAGTATAACTAATTATTAACACTTAGCTTAACTTATCCCTAGCTATATAAAAAAAAGTAGGTAGGTAAGTAGTAAAGTAGTAAAATATATTAGTAAGAGCGTTATTTATAATATTATTATTTATAAGTATATTATTTATAATATTATAAAGGTATTATTCTATAATATAGAACGCTAATAATACTTATAACTAAAGCTTAGTAATAGCTTAAACCTATACTTAAGAGTATAAACTTAATAATATAACTCTTTACTGCTATAGTTAAAAAGGTTCTTATAGCTATAATATAAGAACTTAACTATTTAAATAAAGTTTTAAACTTATTCCTTATATCTTTTTATATATATAATAACTATAATATCTTTCCCCCTTATTATACTTATATATAAACTAAATAAAACTATTTTAGATAACTTAATTTATAAAACTAAAGTAAATAAAATTAAAAACTTTAAATATAGTAACTTTCTATATATTAATAAAAAGATTTTATTTAAATTTATTTAGAAATACCTATTTAAGATAGCTAATAAGTATAATATATTAAAGTTATATAGCTTTAAAATTAATATAGATATAGTTAAAGCTACTAATAATAATCCTAATACTTATAAATACTTTATAAACTTCTTTAAGATAGCTAAAGTAGCTTAAGTGCTTATTAGTAAGTTAGGAAGGGTAAATCTAATATTAAGAGTATAGCTAATAGTAGTAGGGCTCTTTATTAAGACTACGTAGTAGGGCGGAAGACGCTATAGCGCAGACGTCTAAATAGTAGAGGAGATAATAGAAGATAGGTATAGATTGAATATAGCGTGAAGGGTAGGTGCAGCTTAGAGGAGCGAGAGATAGAGGAGACTAATAGAGATAGAGGTAGCTAGAGGAAGATAGTTGAGGCTCGTTATAATAATCAAAGTCCTAAAGAACTGACTAACGGAGGGGTGTAGAGGCAAAGCTTTAGGAAGATCTAGTAGTTAGATGCCTAGGCAATTAGACCCTGCGTTCTCTAGAGAATAGGACATAAGCTCACAAGATATCTAAGTAGTTATATGACCTAAAGGTTATTAGTAGAGAGTGAGAGGACTAGTCTAGCTTTTGCAGTTAATATTAGTTAAATTCCATAATATAAGGCTAGCAGCCCTTACTTATAGATAATATAAATAGTAATATAATCTTTATAAATATATAGTATTCTTATAGTATTAAAGCTAATAGAGGAGAAGTAGTTAATATAGGAATAGCTTTTATTAGTAAAACTTTTATAGTCTCTAAAAAAGTAATAATTATTATATTAAAACTTAGAAAGAACTTTAGCTATTTAAATAATATAAGATATCTTAATAAGAAGTTAATAAAGAGATAATATAAAAAAATATAAAAGTTAAGAGGATTATAAGCTTAATAATATTTAAAAAATAACTTATAATTTTTAAAGAGGACTAACTAAACTAAATAATAAGAAATAAAAAGAAAATAAAAATAAAATAAATAAAAAAGAAATAGTAAATAAATAAGTAAAAAAATATAAAGCTATTAGTAAGATATTTAATAGAAAAAATAAGAAAATAATAAATAAAAAGAAATAAAACTAGAGGGGTATAAAATTATTAAAAATATATACTAAAAAAAGAAAATCTTAAAGCTTTAAAGTATAAATAAAAAATCTTATTATTATTAACTACTTTAAGTATATATTAGTAAATAAATAGGGGATTACTATTTAAAGAGGGAAGTATAATAATAAAATAATAATAGACTAATTAATATAAAGGATTATTTAAAATTTAATAATAAATAAAAAAATTATTTTTAGTTTATAAACTTATAGAATAATATAAATAATTTAAATTAATTAAAATAATATAAAAAACTATATACTTATAAGTATAAGATTATAGATATATTAATAAAATAATTTAAATATAGAAAGTATAATTTAAAGTTAGTTTTAATTAAATAGGGGAAATTATAAAAAAGACCTATTTAAAGAATAATTATATATATATACTTTAGAGATTAAAGTTTTAGAGAGGGAGGTAATTATAAAGATTACTAAATAAAGTTACTAATAAACGCTTAGTAAAACCTTAGCTAATTAAGACCTTAACTTTAATAGTAAAATCTCTACTTCTTAGGAATTTAGAGGAAGTAAGCTATAGTTAATATATTAGATTAACCTCTATTATAACTTCTAAACCTTTCCTAATTAGAGCTTCTAGCTTATTACCTTATAATAATTAATAAGTTTTCTCTTTTACTTTATTATAAAATTAGTTATATAACTTACTCTTTTAGTAAAACTTATTAAGGAAGCTATATAAAGTAGAAGATATATTATAAGATAAACTATTATACTATATTATATATACTACTACTATTATTAGCTTTATACTATATAGCTAGTATTATTATTATTTTATTAATCTATTTAACTAAAGTATATAGTTAACTTTATATAAAAGTTTACTTATTAATAGAAATATATAAGGTTTCTATACTATTTTTCTTAATTAATAGAAAGTATAAGTTAAAGTACTTATATAGTATTTTTAAAATTATATTTATATATAAAGTGAATTTTATTATAGTCTTTTTATAGAAGGGCTATATTATAACTATAAACTTAAGATTTAATTCTTATTTAATATAAACCTTAATTATATTATTCTTTTAATCTTAATTACTTTTATATAATATATATATATATATATATATATATATATATATATATAAAGTAAATCTTATTATAATATTTTTATAAGAAAGTAATATTATAATTATAAACTTAAAGTATTTTAACTATATAAGTAATTTAACTTAACTCTTAGAAGAAATAATTATAAGTAAAATACCTAAGTATTATTACTCTATCTATATAACCTACTTATTAAAGTCTATTTACTTATATGCTTGCTTCTACTATAGCCGCCTGTTCTCCACTAGCCTTTGGTTCTTCTAACGCCAAGTCACCTCTAAGGTCTGGCACAAAGCGGTCAATTCGCTTCCAAGTCTCACTCCAAAGGGTCTCTTTCAAAGGATCTTGGCTGGGCGCTACCAAGTATCCACTGCTTGCTAGAAAAAGGACCACGTTCTTGAGATTCTCGCGGACTGCCTCCTCCTGCGAAACTGTTATCAGCAAGCATGGTCGTTCCACAAAATCCGAATTACTCACTAGACTGTCACCCTGCCCACTGTTCATCAAACGATCCATGATATCGATGATCTTAACCCACAAATCCAACATCTCGTCCCATTCGGAAAGAAGCACAAGGTATTGGAGAAAGACTTTGCACAGCAAAGAAGCGGCCTGAACTCGCATCTCACTCATACCTACAGGGTCGGAAGAGAAGACCTCTGGCTTCAAGAGCTTGTGGATCAACGGGAACAGAACCTCTCCAAATATCGCTATCCACTCCTTGTGGTCGTTGCAGGTGAGATCTGGCGAGAGCAACGACCGCTGGAGTGAAGTGAAGGCCTGGAGGCGAACATCTCGACAAGGATTCGTGCATTGCGTTGTGAGAGCCTGAAAAATGGGCAACCAGTACGCAGACCATGCTGGGGCAGCGTATCAGACATTGTTTGCAGCAGGGATAATCACTGTCAGCGTACCTTCATTGTTTTCAAGATGGGACTGCTTCATCAAGAAGGGAATGCGTGCCGTCATACTGTAAATCGTGCTGATTGCTTTGGAGCCACGTGCCACAACTTCGACAAGACTGCAGAATGTTTAGCTATCTCGAGGCTTCAGATGCGACCTGCAGCTACTCACCTAGGGTTTTCGCGTGTACCCTCACGAGTCTTGCGCTGCTTTGCATCAGCTACAGCAGCACGGCCGGCCACCGAGGCGAACTCTCCGAGTAGCAAGATAGCAGACTCATAGTTATCCGCAATGATGGCTGGGGGGGCTCCACCGCAACCCATTTCCAGTATATCGAAAACAAGTGGCGCCGAGTCTTGTCGCAGAGCCAGTGCTCGCATAATGGCCCAGAAGTCCGGAGAGGTCATGATCTCGTTGCGAAGTGGGCTTGGCTCGTCGATGCAAATTCTCAATCCCTGAAGGAGCAGAACCGAGGTCTTTGCCAGCACGTCCTTCGCAAAACTCGATATGGTGTGAAGTAGGACGGGCACGTTAATATAGTCATGAGTCTGCGAGGAGCTAGAATTAGATCTAAAACGTTGCAGGAGTACAATGGGAATTAAGTCATTTTTACTACTTACGTAGCTAACGTGCAATAGCTTCAAAAGGTAGAAGGCAGCCCTTGAGACGAGAATGTAGTGGTAGCGTCCAGCATCCCGCAGTACTGCTTGCAATGCGTCGATGACCCGCTTGCCAACAAGTTGGATGGTGTCTTGGTCACGAACAGCAAGCACGGTACTGAATTCCAGGATGTAGGCCATTGCTGGGTCATAGACGATCCCAGCTTGTGCGGTCTTCTGTCCATTCATAGGCGAGGACGGCACATCAGATTTGACGACTATCACCGTAGAACTGTGATCCTCTGGCAAAGCATCTAACAGCGCGTTGACGAGAGGCTCCAACTCATCAGGTGGCAGGTTTCTGTGTCCCAGTAATCAGCGGTGGCTAACATCAACCCGAGTGCAAACTTACGAGATGTTGGCAAAGACTTCGCCCATACGGCATTGGTTGACGCAGTCGACAGTGCAAAGTGTGCTTTCGAGCTCTTCCTCCGAAGGCTCGGGGGGGTCGTCAGCTGCGTAGCTGGAGATGTAGCTAGTAAACGCAGAGAAGAAACCAGTCTCCACGGCTTTTGAACCTCTATCGATGACTTGAGAGGGCGTCTGCAGCGGAATAGGTTTGATGTCAAGAGAACCCTCCAAAAAGAAGGACGGGATGAGAGAGTTGACGAAAAGGTTGAGCCAGATACGAGTAATAGATTTCCAACCGCTGCGAATCAAGTGCTCATTGCCGGTCACGACGCGGAAAAGTACCAGCGTGGCCAGCTGCGCGCGGAAGTCTCTACCCAGCTTGACCGCCAGCTCACTGACCATGACACTGCTCTCACCAGCTTGAACCTCGGTGTTCAAGCTCGTGTTGAAAGGAATCTCGGTGGCCAGCGTTGTCATGTGGCTGAGTGAGTATACAATCTGATTGAGAGCATCAGCATTCTTGTATTTGGCAGCGACTCGCGCGCACTCGTCGAAGCCGGTAACAATTCTGGCAAAGACCGCATCGTCCGTGGCAGACATGAAGACGTATGACAGTGTTGAGACGATTGGCCGCCACGTCGCCGCGAACATGTCCGCGTCGTAGATGTTCGTATCGCATAGGACCAATGGCCGCACCGACTCGGACTTCACAATAAGCTCCCGCCAGGCGTAGTCAAAAGCGTGCTTATTGTCGTGTTCGTCAGGGAGAATGATCTCATTCGTTCTGATGTTGTCATAAATACTTTGGAGGTAACTAGGGGCGAAGTCTTGCCCGTCATTGACGCCCCTCAAATTCCGTGCAAAGTCATCCACGGTCATGCGCTTCTGACCCTTGAGGTTGGGGTTATGCTGGTCCGTATTCAGCATGATGATGGCATACGTCAAGACGAAGACTGCATCTGCGTTGGCAACTTCAGTCGGTGTTGCCATGGAGCAGTATTTGGCGGCGAAACAAGTGACGATCCTCTCAATCAACGCGGATTCTCCAGGAAGTCGGAACGTCTCCAGGAGGCCTCTGAGCGCCTCGTCAACTCGTTTTTCAGAAAAGTCGAAAAGATTCATGTATGCCTCGAGGACGGTTTCACTGCCCTTCTTCGACAGATACTCCCCAAGAACCTTCTTTGACACTCGAGAGGTGCCTTTGAGGAACTGGGCAACCGAGACAGGATCTTTGACATTCTGGATGATGCCCTGTGCCTCGAGATAAGCCAGACCTCCCTTCGGATTCTCGTTGAACTTGCTCGTTCCTTTGATAATAATCTTCTTCTTCCGCCGTCGCTCTCGTAATTCGGCCGGATCTAGGTACTCTTCCACTACTGGCGGCTCATCCAGTCGCTCAGCGAGGAACTGTATGTATCGGAGAAGTGCGTCTAAACATAGCGGCGGAACGCTTGTGGTAGACCAAGTAGCGCTGTCAGGGAGGGCGTTTCTCGCCAGTAGTCCGATCATGTCTTCGCAAAGATCTGCTCGATCGGCGTCGCAGTCGTAGTTGACAAACAATTCGGCCATGAACGTCGGCATTCGTGCCAAGACACCAATGCTTTCAACCATTGCCTGTCGCGCGTCGGGCTTTCTTGCGCCGCCTTCAAGGCCCAGTTTCTGCCTATCCTTCACTGGTACTGGCGTGGAACGTCCGCTGCTGGTCTGCGACGGTGGAGGTTTGACCAGTTTGGGAGACTGCGGTATTCCGGCATACAGCGTTGGGTCAATACCGGGTTCGCGTGGTATTTCTACTGATGGGTGAAGACACGCAACTAGGTATGAGAGGAATAGTTCCTGCTGCAGTTTCAGAACGCCACGGCAAGTGGCTAACAAAGTGCCAGCAACAATCAGGGATTCTTGAAGAATGGCCATATTATCAGACCTCACAAGTTGAAAGAGGTAACAACAAAGCCTGTCTTCCGCAATGCCAGCCAAAGCTGGATGTCGTGCGATGGAGGGCCCTGATACCTCAAGTGCCACGTGTATGATGCGCAAAGCCATTACCCTCATCGTATCTGTGTGCTGGCGGTCGTTAGGATCTAGAAAGTTGACTAGGACTCTGAAGAGCTCCCGAACTGATGGCAGCGAGTAGGGTCGCAGATCGAGGGATTCGGAACTTTCTTCGCCATCACCTCCTGCTTCGCCATCTCCTTCTGCTTCGGCGCCAGTGTTGATAATGGGCTTGGATTCTCCAGAGTCGAAGCTTTCTTGAGATGGTGGGTTCAGGTCTACTGGCGTTGAGCTCGATGTTGACAAGCGAGCTTCATTCTCTGGCCCTGGGGCTTGCAAACCAGCAGCAGCATTTGCAGCAGGGTCCATCTTTACGCTGTCCATGTCCGCACTCGTCTGTTTATCGAGAGCATCAGACTCGTCTCCGGCTTCGACTTCCAAGTGCTTCACGTCCTCGAAGATGATTTGGCACATGCGAACCATTGACGCCTCAGCCGTGCGGCGTAGCACGGGTGAGAAACGGGGTTGTGAACAGATGGCCAATCCTCTGCCCATCATATCGCATACGCTTTCGTCGCTGAGAATGTCACCCCCAGGCCCTGACATCATGTCTTCCATCAGATGGAGAATCATGAGCAAAACAACTTCAACCTGGCCAGAGTCACTGCCATCAAATTGGCAACGCGTGACTGCTGCGGATAGTGACTGCATCGCCAGGGCGAATCGCGGGGAGGTCGGGCCAATGAAGCCATAGGCGAGGAACTTGCGGAGTGCTCCGAGCGTGAGTATCGTGACAGGCGCAGCGGTGCCTTTGGTTTGTATGATCTGCAAGAATGGACTCAGAAGCGATAACGCGTCAAACGAATGAATGTCTGGTACGTAGACAGTGGTCAGCAAGGCTGGTCTATGGTATACCTCAAAGGAGAACAAGGCAATATCTTACCTCGAACGCTGGCCAGTTCGTGTCGAAGCTTCCCAAAGCCAGCCATCAGAGGATTGTCCTGTATGCTGCGGCCCCTTTTCCCACGTAGACCCCATCGGTTGGCAGAAGCCGCATCCTGTAAATTGTCTGCGTTGAGAGCACTGCCAGTAGCTTTCGGGCCTCTAGGTGTAGCATTCGTGGGGCCCAAGTATATCGGGTTCGGGTTTCCGCCGAGAATGGCGGATACAGAAGAATGCGGTGAGCGCGCATGCTTGTGCAGTGCCGACGTTATGGATATGCACTCCGACATGACCAGAGACACTGGGTCTACGGCGACCGAGACAGGCCGACTTCGATATTGCATTCTGGGAGGCATCACGGAGGGTCCGATAGGCCTGCGCAGGTCGAGGCTGAGATGACCGGTTGAGGTAGGCGCTGCCTCGGGGTGCTGGGGTTTGTCACCATCTCGAAGCATGGTTGATTGAGCGTGGAAGTGGTGGACGCGGATGCGAACGCGGCGGATACTTGCCCGCAAGGTTGGATATTCTGCAAGCTTGCCCCTTCTCGGACAGAAGTGAACCGAGAAATCGGACAGGGAACGGATACGCTCATGCGCGTGACAATCGTATTATCTGAATCGGATCAGAGCTCGAGGGCCATCAAGAACGCAGGACCACTGGACATTGACCCTCCAGGTTCTCGTCTGCAAATCGGAGGTTGATTGTTGCGTGTCTTGTTAAGACAGTTGTCGCCAAAAAGAGGACCCCGGCAATTGACCAGGTTGCAGGAGCTCCAGATTAATGTGTGAAGTCTGGGTGGCACTCGTGGTAGCTGGCAGTACGTCTCTAGGTACCCGAGGTACCTGGTGGTCATCAAACAGGGTGCTTGCTTACCTTATCGGGTGGACCGTCCTATCTACTACTATGTACCTAGTAACTTACCTCTGCTAGGCGTTCAGCACCCACTGTGCCATCTTGGGGCAGACTCGAGACTTCCCATGTAACTTAAGGTATCTAGGCATAGATATGTTTGCGTGAGGTAAGAATACACACCTACTCAGCTAATCAGGTAGGCAGTCACTGTCTGGAAGTATTTGAGACCAATACGGCACGTGCACTCTGCTCTTAGATGCAACTATGCCTTGAGTACTACTAATGCGAGCACGCGAAGAAGATGGGTTAACATGGCATCATGCTTAGCCATGTGTGCTCTTATTTTCTCCACGTCAGCAACGTCAACAATATCAGCAGTGTCGTTAGTGCCTTGTCAATGATGGCGTGTACATTCGTTCCTTGTTCATGACGGGAATAACTTGTTAGGGCCGACACATCGAGAACGCTGGATGTTTTGAAAATGCCTCAAGAACATACTGAACCTTCTCAGGGTCAGTCACCTAGAGGATGCTGGTCACAATAGCCTCGATTTGAGTCTTGAAGTAAGTGCCTACCCACACACTATTCCAATTTATCGTCACTCGACACTCACCTTTCCGCTCAACAAACGATACATATGGTACACTTAGATCCTCCTGTTTCACCTCGTAATGGTAAATGAGGCGACTGCATTCAGTCATGCATTTGTGTATCTTCCAACGCCTCTCTACGGCACTGTCCCTTTACAACACATCCTGTAGTACCCCAAATCGAAGTACATGTAGTATACACAGTGAAAATGCTGTTGGGAAGAGCATCTGCCGGGCAGGCAGATGATGAACTCAAAGTCTTTCGGCTGAACCTCAACACGTTCTACGACCACGTAGATTCGTGTTTAGCTCTGCTTGAGGCTGACTTCAGCGTTCTGCATCCTTCGCGAAACCTCCACCCTCCTTCTCCCTCTCCTTCTTCTTCTCCTTCTTCTTCTCCTTTCCTTCAACAGCGTTCTGCCTCTCCTTGGTTTCTTGCTTGCTCTTCTTGTCTTCCGTCGCAAGATTCTGCATATCGGATTTGTCCTTCTCCCACTGGCTGCTCGCGTCACCAAACTGCTCCTTGACTTTCTTCGCCTTCTCTGCCTTCTCCTCCTCTTCCTTCTCTCTTGCCAACCTCTCTTGCTCCATTTCCTGTCCACCATTAGATCTGATTATTCGACCTAGCGAATCGAATGACAACATACCTCCATGTGCTTGATGTCATCCACGCTTGGTTCGTAAAGATGCCAAATCGTGTAATGCGGCAGGCCAACGACTGAGTAGTCCATCCGCTTCGCCATCTATGCCATCGACGTTAAAAAATTGTTGACTCAAGCTTAAGCACACAACATCTTACCTTGCCAAATCCCTCCGTCTCCGCGTGCTTCTCGAAACTGAAAGCTGGAAAGTGAACGCCTGACCGGAATACTCTTGCTTTGGCCAGGATGCTGACGCCCCCCACCCCGTCAATCTCCATCTCCATGTCGGGGTCCCCGTACGGATCTCGCAGATATGCCAGGTGGGGTCGCCATGTAGCGTACTCGGCATAACCTTCAACAATGACAGCATCCTCGTCCAGGGTGTCAGCGAGGGCTAACGCTGTCTCTGACTCCTGCCAAGAGTTCAGATCGTAAGGCTGCTCACCCCCAAGCCAATCAGGCAGGGGACGCCAAACGTCTATGCGGTGTTCAGCCATGGCAACGGGCCTGCGAGGTTCATTAAGACTTACTTGGCACGATGACATCCTTATTGTGGCGCATAAGATCCTCAAGAATGGTGAAGGGTGCCGTTTCGACGTCAACATCTCTCCAATACACCCATGAGTGATAAGGCCGCAGGGCTGCACTAAGAAGCCAGTTCCGGGCCTGAGCCATCAATTTCCGTCTGCTTGCCTGAGCAGCAAAGCCGTGACGACTCTCAACATCCTGATTGACCTTTTGCCCGAAGTCCTTCTCAATGATAGAAATCTCACCATATGGCTGTTTCACATCCTCGTCGGCCTGGAGCCCCTCTAGGTTGTTTGACAGAACCTCGAGAGTTCGGTCTTTGGAATCGGATACGAGGAAGGCGAGATCGATCAAGTGATGTGGGTACGTGAAGTTTCGTAGATGGGAGAAGAACATCGGCAAATGGTTCTCGGCATCTCTCAGAGGCACGCAAAGAAGAATGCGCTCCTCACGCTCCCAGCCGCGGGCGGTGCCCTGCACATTACTCAGGTCATAGTATCGTACTGTTTCAAGCTGCAGGTCGTCGCTCGCTGAAAGCAGGCCAAGAGACACAATCGAGGTCAGTGATGCACCTGGCCATACCAGAACTAGAAAAAGGATGGCCAAGATGGCAACAATGGCCAAACGGGTGAGCAGACGCTGTCGACGGCGGTTCGCGGGTGTCGCTCGGGGCTGGTATCTACGAGGGAGCATCGTCAGGTTTCGTGGCAGTTGAGGAATGAACGGGGCAGGAGGAAGTGTTTGAGGGCAATGACAGCTGTGCGACGTACCTGTGAGGGGAGATTTCAAACGTGTTGCCCCTGGGGTATCCATTGGAGAAGCCGCCGGAGTGATGGCGAGGCATCACTTTGGAGCCCGACGATGTATATGACGGCAACATCCAGGGCACTGGGTAGAGGGACTAAGCCCTTAGCTGGGAGTGGAGCTTCGAACAGTTGCGGTATAATTCCACCGGACGTTGGGAGTCGTGATGTTCAAGCAGTCGAGGGCATCTGGCAACCGTAGCACTTTCGCGTGGAACGAAAGTTGATTGCGCTGGGACGATTGCGCCGCGGGGAGTACTAGTATGAGTTCCGAATGCAAGAAAACCGGTGGAGCAGCGCGCAACTGAACAGGGCAGGGAATCTCAGCTGTTGCGTGCCGTAATCGTGATGTTTTCGAATGATTGTCGTCGAGGGGTGGGCTAAGCGTCGAGAGCTCGCGTCGTTGCGAGAGGTAGGGTAGATAGGTGCAGGGGAAGGGAGGCCGACATGCTCAAACACGGCGACCACTTGTGCATGAGGTAAGGTACCTTGAGGTAGACATACTATGCCAATAGGTGTTCTGTGACCTGCAGCGCCATCCCCATTCTCGGCTTGGGAATTAGGTGGCCTGAGCACCTGCACGATTACTGTAGGGGTACAGCACAGCGAGCACAGTGTCTTGCCTCGGAACCTGAGTAAGCTCTCAATACCTCTCTTCATTGGCTCACGTCTCTCCCAGGGGGCTCCCTCAAGCATCGCCTCCGCTCCCAAACTGAGGATAGTATTCGTACTCTGGAATCTCGTCCGCATGTGTACCTTTCCTTCCAGATCCTGACTTAGACTGTCTCGCATGGTAATCTGCTCTGTGGGCCGTCTATTATGTACAGACAGACACACGGCTGCACGCTCGTAGCAAGGGAGAAGGGCATCTAGCCGGCAGATATCGATACCGAGATAGTCTTACGTGCTGCAGTCTCAGTCGCTTGTCTTCCTCTGAGTTGCGTCGACATCGAGATTCCCTCACTGACATCGAGACATCATGTACGGACCAATGGCGGTCGCATTCTCCCTGAAACAAAAAGGGCCTGACTACTTAAGTTGGCCATGTTGTCGAGTTACAGCACTCGCACATGGTCGACATGGAACACAGCACCTGGGTGAAGCCTGCCGGTTTCAACCTCAGTCGGCATCTTGGCTTTTGGGGCGGCCGACAATACATGGACTTAGGCACTGGTCAAAGACTACGGAGTCGACACATAGCGGGCGCCACACAATCATCAATCATAGACGCAGAAGCGCAGCGCGTCGAAGTCAAGAAACACCTCGGAAGTGCAAAAGCAAGGACATACCTCCAAACCATTCCAATGATTTGACCCAACCTGCCACCGGTTGCCCCATATGTGATCTTAATATCTAGAACGCGCCATTAGCCGGGATCCAATGTATGGTCGCAGTAGAAATGGAGACAAAAACGGCGAGTCAGACAAGCCAGTTTACTCATTCAGTCAGCCGGCCCCAGCCTCCCAGAGCTTCAGAACGAAGAACCGAGAGGCCGGGACACTGAAGCTAAATTACGGTTCCGGAGGAATCAACTCCACCACCATCCTTATCCCTCGTATGAGAGACTCCAGTGCGAGAGTATAGCTCGGCCGACATGAGATAGTTGAATGGATAAGCTATGGTCATCATGTAGATCTCGAGTGTCACTGAGATGGGGATCATGGGTAAAGAGGGTTGCGAGAGTAAAGAGTAGACCTACCATTGAAACCATTTCCAGCAGGTGTCAAAAGCAGCCTTCTGAGAAGCTTTGAAGGCCTCAGTCGCACAATTTTTGCCTTCAGACAATGCCGAGTTAGCATACGATATTATTTCAAAATCCTCAGCAGGCAGTAGACAGGGGATCCATCAGAAAGATTGTTTTGGTAAATGGGTATCATCACAGATCTCAGTAGCAGAACTGAATGAAAAGGTTGTTCATCACGGACGTGGGGTGGAGGAGGGGGATTTGCATAGATAGCTAGAACTTACCAAGTACACACGACATTCTGTCTAGCAGAAATGCTGGACTAACGATGAGAAACGGCGGGGTGATGCTCTGTGTCCAAGTCAGCGCCTGCCTCAAAGAATAGTCGCCGCACAGGTAAGTTGGAAAAAAGATCCCAGAACAGGTTGAGGTCAGATGGTAGTGCATGTTGTTCGTGCGCTCAGGATATCGCGTGAACTAGTGGAAAATGTTGCATCATATGCAGGGGACAGATAGGTGATAGGAATAGGCATTGAGCACTTACCATTGAAAGGCAGCCCGGCAGCCCAGGTCTGGGCCTGATGAGGATGAAAATATCTCAACGATGAGTGAAGTCAAGGAACAAATCTTGGAACGAGGTGCAAAAAATTTTGGGCTTGAAGTAGTAGCCCACTAAGCTGGATATGCGCATAAGCCCACTTATCGTCTTTTTTGTGCCGAGAGCTGTGAGTGGGACCGGCTTGCCCCTGTTGAATTCAGTTAAACGAGTCTACCTCTCTATTGAAAAGAACCTCAGCTGAATGAAAATTCACCTCCCAGCGACTTTGATGACAAGCCTCCCAACGACCAGCTGAACTGTGAAGTGACTATTCACACTAAGAGCCCATTTCTTTCTCAGAAAGATTCGAAGTTACTTCGGACAACCAGTTGGGCGTTACGTTCACTACTTCAGATTAGTTGGCTATCTAGCTTGAGATACGCCCCGCGGTCTTTCCGACATACGCTCCTGCCATTTCCGTGCCTTCGACCGCGAAACTGTCGACACCGTCACATTCATCACGACATGTCCGACCGACGAAGAATTAATGGCCCGCCCGGTCCCACTCTACCGCCCTTGTTCGATGGCTGCAGCTCTAAATCAAGTTCCAGAGCAAGGCCAGCAAACGGAACCCGAGGATTATGTTGGTTCAATCCTTTGCGGTAGTCTCGTCACTCACAGTACTAACTATACGCCCAGTTCTCAAGACCGGCGTAGCCCCCACGGCATCTGGATCCGCCTACATGGAAATCGAGCCCCCTCAGCTTCAGGCCAATCCTATAGCAAATGCCAATGGCATGAAGCTCATTTGCACCGTTCACGGACCTCGTTCCCTTCCCCGGTCCGCACCCTTCTCACCTTACCTGGTTCTCTCCACACACGTCAAGTACGCACCGTTTGCTACTCGTCAACGCCGTGGATACCTGCGCGACTCGAGCGAAAGAGACCTAAGTGTCCATCTCGACACTGCTCTACGTGGGGCCATTATTGCTGACAGATGGCCCAAGAGTGGCGTTGACGTCATTGTCACCATCATCGAGGGGGATCAAGAGCGAGAGCTCTCTTATTCCCAAGGTAATGAACAGTGGGACGTAATGAACGTTTTGAGTGGCTGCATCACGGTTGCGGCTGCCGCTCTAACTGACGCTGGGATTGACTGTGTGGACATGGTAACTGGAGGCGTTGCTGCAGTTGTAGGTGAAGCGGCCGGCGACCTGTCGGCAACTTCAATCGTCATGGATCCTGTTTCATTCGACCACGAAAGAATCTTGGCTGCTTGCTGTGTTGCCTATCTGCCGAGCCGCGCCGAGATGACCAATCTATGGCTCAAAGGTCAGCTTCCACCTTCTGATCCTCTCCTTCATACGAAGTTGGTGGATCGAGCTATTCAGGCGTCGAAAGGCAACTATCGGGCGGTTTTAGAGAGGCTTCAGGATCACCAGCCACCCCAAGGCTAGTCAAGTCTTGATCTGGAGACAGCTAGAAGACGCAATATCTTGCCTAGTTCTCTTGTTGGCGGCACTCTGTTCCACCGGAATACATGTCTATGCCGGCTTTACAAATGAAGCTGAAGGGTTTTGAGTGGATCGCAAGGCATGTCATCAGGCAGAGGAACTACTTCGTTGGACATTTACTCTGGTCATGATTAGTCGATCAAAGACACGCGAGGGATTTGGCACAAGTTCTGAGCCACTCATGGTACCTAAGGGGACGTTGGCGGCAGCTCGCACGCTCCCATGGGTTTGCGGTGTTGTTGAAATGGCTTTACAGCGCCAGTCCACCGGTGTAGGTGGATCGAAGAAGCTGGAATGAGGGACTGTAGCTGGGTGGGTCACTTGTGCCGTGCACCATCCCAGTTATGTAATGATATTACCAGCGGATATATGATACCAGTAGACGAGGCTACGAAACTTTGGCACTTAAAATCCTTCTTCTTGATGACGTTTCTGTCTTGATGGTTTGTTGTACGAATCATCTTCATAGAATTAAGTAGATTTCTACCGAGAACTGCCCGTGCCGTCTAGGTGGTCTTCAAAGGTGCTACGGTAATTAGGTAAGTCATGTAGATTTTGTGGAATCGCGTTAGCGCCTTACCTTACCTTACCTTACCTGCTTAAGGTAAGGTACCTAGGAAACGTAAAGGACCTTGAGGAGCCTGGCCCCGGCTCTGTGCTGTGCCTGTGCTCGCGCCAAATACACCCACCCTCCAACTTATCCGAGCTTCCGACGCCGATTCTCCTCAACCTGCGTTGATGCGGGATCTACCTCATTGTTCGAGCTGCTTCAACGAGATCCGATTGATAGCAATCACTGCCATTTCGACTATCGCCTTCTTATAGTATAGTCTGCTATACCTTGCACATCAGCATACTCCACGATAAGCCATCTTGCTTCTGCAGTCTGAAGCCCTCGCGGTCCCTTTCACGTTCCGTCCTTTCTTCTTGCCTGCATCATGCCCTTTCAACCCTTCGCCTACCGCCCATGATTCGTGTCGCGACGCTCTCAGCCGCTACGAGCGACAAGGCCGCCACCGCTGCCTTCGCTACCTTTGCTGCCTTCCGACTTTGAATCTGCTTTGCTGTCCAGCTGAACATGGCGGATCAGCCCGCCTCTGCATCAGTGGACAACCCCACGATCTGGCGGGATCTGTCGCTGTGGACCGCCCAATATCTTCAGCAAGCCGTTAACATCACGAAGCTCGCCCCTTCCTTCGAGGATCTGGTACAGGCTGGCCCAAGGATCATCAAAAAGCTGACAGCATTCATTCCGGCTCCCGATACACTTGATGGCCTTGGCCAGAGAGTCATTCCCGAAGCGACCGAACCCGGAATCATTCGAACGACCGACGCCGCTACGACCGCTGCGCTCGACATGAACATACCCCCTCCGATGGAACATCATCATGGGCTTGGGACAGGGCCGGGGCATGATACCCTAGTCGACCGTGATACTGGAATTGCCAGTCCCAAGTTTACCATGGAAGGGGCAAAGGGTCTAGGCAGCGTCTTTAGCTATGCCACGAGCAAATGGGCCCTTTGCTGTATCGCTATGGCTATTGTGCTCAATCGCACCCATATATTTGCAGCTACGAGACGCCGTTTACGCCTGACCTTACCTATCCGTCTCCTCCTGCGCGGTCTCCCGGTCTTACTATTCCTCATACAAGCCCGCGGTCTCCTACGCTCCATACAATGTCAAACATCCCCTGACTTTGCCGAGATGCGCTGGGGAAATACTAGCAAGAGCTCAGAGTTGATGTTCTCCCAAGCCGGCGGCTTTCTTCACACAATGAGCTCCACACTTCTACTCGGAGCTTCCGACCAAGAATCATGCACAGCCGTTGGCATGGTGCCCGCGAACGACGAAGATCCGACGCAGTATTTGCGAGGGTCATTGTCACTTCTGTGGCCGTTATTCGGCACGTTCTGCCTTAGTCAATTTCTCGAGACTGTGTCATGCGCCGTTCAGGGCCGTCCGGTATCGGCCGAAACGGGTATGACACTATTCGAGCATTCACTCGCCTTCGCCGAGGCTGATGCTGCGATTAGCAATCAGCTCGGTTGGGGCTTGTTTACCCAGTCACAGGCCGCTGAGGCGCTGTCTGAGCCAAGTAGCAGTATTGCTATTAGCCGGTCCATGATTCTTCGAAGGGTCAACACTCCGCCTGAAGTTCTTCTCGTGGCCTTCCTCTCAACTATGAGCCACATAACTAGCCACGTTCTGGGCATCTTCAATCTGCAATCCAAATTTCGCCTTGTCAACACAGGGTTTTGGGGCCTCTGTTTCATGGCGAGCATACTCTATAGCGCTTTCACATTTTCCTTGGATGACCCTTCAAAACAAGGACTGCTCAGGTTCCCCACAGTTTGTATTATCGGTTTCATCCCTCATGTTCTTGTCCTCGGTGGCATACTCATCTGCCTTTCTATCTACCTGCTTGCGCTAGGCTTAGCTGCTCTCACCCCCGTGGAGGGGTCCACAGGCCAGCGTCTAACACTTCGCGAGCGGCTAGCTCAAGCCCACGAGAACATGCAAGCCAACTTGTCTTTGTCTGATATTCGTATCGGCATGGATATGGACTTCTATACTGCCCTGTTGAGAACCGGCTTTGGTGCTATCACAATGGCCAGTGAAGCGGTTTACTTGAACGAGGACCGAGACATCAACCTCAGACACCGCACTTGGCTCGAGGAGGAGAGATTTCGAGAGCTGGAGGAGTTGCGAGCGCAGTGGATAGGAGCCAGCTCGTCTGACTCGCAGTACGACACCATCGGCACCATTGGCTTGGTCCCCATGAAGGATGACCACCTGCTGCCCATCAATGGCTATGCTCGCGAGCGAGCCGCACAGAAGGTACCGAAGGCTCGTTCAGGCGAGCGTAGGGTCAGGGATGGAGTTGGCGCTGCGGAAAGAAGTGGAAGGTGGCTCATGGCGCTGGATTTTCTCATGAATATCAACAGGTTGATAATCCGAACCTGGGCCACCGCCGCCATCAAAATTCTCTCCAAGATAGGCGTCCGTTCGCCACAGCTTCTCTTATGGATAGCACGCCGGCCCAAATCTGCCACCAACATCGTCAACCGAAACGGCAGTGAACATCGTGTCGACCACACCATCGAATCTATTGAGTCCACCATGGACATCCCGATAAACGAGGCCGTCGATGTTGAAACAGAATTCAGACAGCAGGCCTGGAGGAGAAGCAGTAGCTCAGCATTTATCGACGAGACAGATCTGGATACGCGGCTCTATGGCTGGTGGTTGAAGGGCGGATATTGGGGCTCCACGGACAATAGTGGTGAATACCAACCTGAGGAGACCGCCGATGATGACACCACTAGTGTCGTCTCGTTCAGCGCCCACGACGACAGTGATTGGGAATCAGAGCATGACGGGAAGAGAACACCGACGCAACCGAGATCCTGGGCAACCAGAGATACCACACCAACGCCTGACGACGCTTTACAGTTATCGGATTTGGCCCGTCTACTGCATCCCAGCAATCCTGAAGAGAGAGATGAGGCGTTTACACTGGCCGCCCACTTGGCTAGTGATAGGATCATGACAAGGGCACAGTTCAAAAGGTCGCAGCAGTTACAACGGATGAAGATACTGCAACCAGCCGGAAGACCAGGCCAAGAATCAACTAGGTCGTGCAAGATGACCCCTGACGAAGAGGCTCAGCGCCTGGAGCAACTTCTGCTATCTCGCCGTTCTGACACTCCCCGAGCTCTTCACAGTGAGTCGACCTGGGCAGAAGGGGCCGCCGGCCTAGGTCCCGACGGCCCTCAATGCGTCGTATGCCAGAGCTCTCCAAGGACAATTATTGTCTGGCCTTGTCGCTGCCTGAGCCTTTGCGACGACTGCCGGGTGTCCTTGGCCATGAACAACTTTGATAAATGCGTCTGTTGTCGCAGGGAAGTAATCAGTTTCAGCAGGATTTTCGTCCCCTGAAGCCCTCTAGGCATTTGGTGCGACGATCTTCTGGGCGGCGCCTGATTCAAGACCACATGATGGAAGTGCGTGGACACGAGAATAACGTCGGCGCTGGTGGGGTTCACTTGTTTCATTAGACGTCAGGGGGTATCTTTTGCTGGTATTGTACACAAACACACGCTACCTTCGTGCTTCAGCGCCGTTCCACACTTTGGTTCAGCGTCCAAATCCATCGTATTCACATCCCAGCCCATTCGACGCAGAACGTGCGTACATGCTTCGCGGTCGCGTCTCCAGGAACGACAGCTTCTCCTCCAAATAAGAAACCTTTCTTGACCGAGGTGCCTAGACGTCCGCTCCCCACTATGTCGAGCATGGGGATTTTCTCGTCGCATCCATAATTCGTAGCTAGGAAGTGAGCGTGATAGCGTAGTGGATCGCCAGGGTACACGCTGTAGTCGGCACCGAAACGCAGACCTGGGGTCATAAAGTAGCCTCTTGATAAAAGGTACTGGTGGAGAGGGCCGAGGGGCGGAGACGGGACGGTCAGAATCCTTTGTTGGGCATTCTGAAGACCGCCACTCGTTGTGGGTGTGACCGCCAGCAGCTTATCCTGTGGCAGAATATTCTCCGAAGACGCCTCGCCCATCGTGACGGCGCTTGGCACCTGAGCGCCTGCAGCCCTTCGTGCCTGCACGGATGACTTCTTGGCTTGATCCTCGGCTATCAATTTTTGCGCCTGGTCCCGGCGGTCCTTCAAGATTGTGATGTAGGCTTTGCGACTCTTTTGGTCTGGGGAAGCAAGGCAGGAAAGGTGTTCGGATGTCTCGTCGACCAGGCGGCCTACCTTCTTCGCGATGAGCATACTGGCTTCCTCGGGCAGTAATTCCAGGGGCAAACTCAGGAACACATTCTGTGTCGGATTTTGCGGTGTAGTTCCAATCAGCACCGAGCAAATGCTGTGGTTTCGTCGAATCCAGGCTACATCTTCTGCATCAAAGACAAGATAGCGGTCGGCAATCTTGGAGATGCGCACTGGCGCCAGACCTAGTTCAAGCGACATATTCATGCCGTCTTCGAGCGATTCCTGTGAAAGTCAGCTACGGTTCAACCTAGATTGTACGCTGCACGAACGGTATTTGACGTCCCCAAGATCATATTCGCTTTGAAAAAAAAGGTATCATCACAGAGTATCAGTGGATTGACAGATTGATGTTTTTTTTGGTTTAATCATTGTAGGGGAAAAATCTGCAAGAGGGGCAGAGAATATCTTACCTGAGCGGACATTGTTGAATGTAAGAAACTCAACGAGAGAAAATTTTAGCGGCAGAGAATATTTCAATGCTGTGCTTGGTGGGGCACCAGGGACCACTTTGTACCTTACAGTGTACGGTCTTCGATGCCTTATCGGTACGTATCTTTGGAATGGAAGATAACTCTCACGCATTCACGCCTCACACTATCTCGTTCATGTTTCTCATTTATGTTGCTTACGGTGAGGCTCCTATTTTCCATACACATATTGGTCCTTTAGAAGTCGAGCTTCTCCTCTTTCTTCCTCGTCTCGTTTGATCCCGTGTCTTCATCTCCATCCAGCATCGGTGGCAAGCTATAGGGCTTGAATATCAGGCCGCTCGAGCTACTCAACCGGAATGAGAGATTTTCCTGTGATGAACCGCCGTCCAACCCCCCCCCTCTTTCATGATAAACGGGAAGGCTGTGGACCTTGAGCATACCTTGAACCACGTCTTCCGATTTGATATTCGGCTGTATATGCACCTTGCGCTGCAGCGGTAATAGTTCTAACACGCTGTCACAAAGCAGTTCCATCCATCTAGTGAGCCCGCTGGAGCGAGGATACAGTGATGTTGATATGGAAATGACGGCTGTTAGACTTCCACTGTATTGACGCAGTAAAGCTCTCAGCCTGTGCAGGAACTGTAAGGCATCCTGAGGTCGGCACACAGACGAGCCATAGATCGCAGGCGACAATAGGCTTGGGACTAGGACTCGATGAATTGCGTCCGGCGCTGAAGACCTCAGTTTCGCCGAGAGGTTGGCAATGAATGTATCCAAGGGCGACGGAGTGTCGGCGCCTCCTGAAGATTGGGACCAGGTCATGGCAGGAAAGCAAAGCGTCGTGTCAAGCTTCCCCTTGATATCGCTGGGTTGTAAGCGTTTCGAAAGGTCGAATTGGTGGCAAAAGCTGTCTGTCATGTTGGCGTTTCCTTGGGTTGCATCTTCATTAAGAGTCAATTGACGTACTCAGTGGATTACAACCCGAATAACGCATGATCATCGTACCTGTGCCTGTCTTGTTGCCGTTAAGAGTCTCATATCTCCAGGCGATTTTCATTTTCTCGTTCGAAACCGAAGCTGGCTGACCGCGAAGCGAGCTGCTTGTTTTGCCAAGCCCAGGAAGCTCACCCTTCCACGCTTCGGTTAGACCTAGCACATGAACCTCATGGCCCTGTACGAGGCCTTCTGCGCCATAGTACTTGAGAAGGACACCCGCAAAGTCCGTCGTTCCAGCTTCCTCCACTAAAATGCTGCTCCCGAGAGGCAGCCCGGCGTGTCCCGCCAGCAGTTGATCTAGTGACCCGGTGCCCGTCGAGGTTATGAAGCGCCCGTCCAAGGGTGATGGGCGAACTCCCACTGCAGGCGATACTTCCTGCTTTTTGGCACCGGCTTCTCTCACTGTGCCACGGGCCTGTTGGCCAAGTACGACATTCTTCTTGCGGAACGACATGACTTGTGCGGAGCGTGCTCCTACGAGTAAGTGACTGGTCCAATGTCTTCAAATTTGACGGGGCGATCAACATCAATGAGGAGTGCGAACTTACGCATTCGACTAGGAGCCCTATAATGACTTGTTCCGATGTTGAGTAGAAGCAGATGATGTGAAATCGCCGTCTTAGTCGGGTCGCAGAGGCAGGAGCTAGGGAACGCGAGCCGAAATTCCAACCCCTGGTGCGATGGCTGCTGCCCCCCCACCTTTCAATCGTATGGTGCCTAGGTACATATCTTATCTTAACCCGGGTAAGTGAATCTCGGGGTCCGTAATTTTTTCTCCAACGTGCCTGCCTCCAAGCTATCGTGGGACGCAGTTCTTGTCGACGATTTTTGCGTGCTACCTCTTCCAAATACAGGTCGGCCGCCTTGACAGAGCTTTTGGGCCTCATTTGAACTACAGTCACTTCTACATTCTCGCAGACAGTCAGCCATCAACCATGTCAGGCGGAGGCGATGTGACCCTCTTTGAGGAGTCCTTCACAGTTACGAACTACGATCAGTCCAAGTACGATCGAGTGGCGCGCATCTCTGCCACCTCCACGGACAATCAGACTCTAATGTCACTTGACATCAATATTGAGCTCTTCCCCGCCTCCACTTCCGACAGTCTTCATGTCGTCCTGGCTACCTCCCTAGCTCACGACGGTAGTAAAGACGAAGAGAAGGGCTGGAGGGACGTTACCAAGGGCAACCACGACCGAGAACCCACACTGGCCGACATGTTTGACTATGTGTGCTACGGCAAGATCTACAAGTTCGAGGACGCTGATGACGGGCAAACCATGTGAGCAGCCATCTTAAACCACGCCGGCGAAGCTCTAGCAGAAGAAGCTAACAGTGTCTTATAGCAAGGCGTACGTCTCGTTCGGCGGTCTCTTGATGTCTCTGGAAGGCCCGTACAAGAAGCTCACTCCTCTGAGAGTCGATTATGTCTACTTGTTAATCAAGAAATGATGAACGATTCTATTTACATCGCAACGAGCTGTCCACCAGGCTATCGACTCATAGCGCGAACGAATACGAGGGGTCTGACGAGGCCACAAGAAACGTGCCTTTGGAACCGTTTATGTGAGCTGAGGTCGTTTGGAAGACACCTGACCCTGGCGAGACAGGTCATCACAATCTACCTTCTCGGAACCGACACTGGCTCAGCCATCTATAGCCCCTAGGGATGAGTCCTGGTTGTGCGGGCCTGGGAATGGCAGTCTTCGGTGGATTCTTCGCAGGATATGGTCGTAATCGGGCTCATTGTGTTTCGTCAGGATGCCGTGACGGATGAAGAATTCGAGCATGACGAGAGCGCAGTTGGGCTTCCATTCTCCCCGTGCCAGGCTATGCTGGACTTCTTCAACGGTGCACAGGTGGAATTCGGCAACCTCTCCATCCTTTGGCTGCGGCACAACATCCTCAGGTAGTTCGAGATCGTATATCCATTGAACTTCGGGATAAATGAGACCCACCTGCCCTGCTTCTGCTTCGGTGATATAGATGTAGGTGACGCCGCCCACGTGCTTCGTGCGGCTGCGAACAAGCTGGTCCGGAAGGTTGGCCTCCTCATCCGCCTCGCGGATGACACATTCGAATGGGTCTTCCCCCGTCATCAATCCTCCTGCCACTGTGTTGTCCAACATGCCCGGGAATGTCGACTTGGTCGGAGAGCGGCGAGGTACCCAAATTTTGATGCCATGACTTGCAGATGGGCAGCGTACGAATGCTGTTAGATGCACCCCGTACCTCATGACTCCGAACAGGCCGGATGCAGATCGTTCCATGTCGATGAGTAGCTCGCCTTTACGCCCGTAGACAGGCCACAGCTCGTCTCGCCACCCGCGCAGTATCGGAAAAGCATCGCGCTTCCTCCAGAAATCAAAAAGACTGGCTGCCAGCTTACTGCGGGCACCTAGTGTGGGTGCTTGAAATGCAGAAATGGTGCGCTTCGCAGTGTCAATGCTGATTTCTCCTCTCACACTGGCCGGCGCCTCTGCTAGCTTTTCTACCACTTCTGGCAACACATAGCCCAGAGACACGTCGCCCTCACCGTCGCCACAGATGAGGGTGTATAGGGAACCACCAATCTCTGCATAGCGAGTCGTGTCGTGCTCGTACGGATACCTGCATGTGTTCAGCACAGGTGACCCAGACGTTTGGGCAGACATTTCTCACGAGTCTACCTGAGCGATGAGGTCGAGGTTGCTGAAAGCTCCCATATTTCTCCTGGGGATTTGTCTCTCAATTCGGGCGCAGGGGATCATGCGGCGGCAAGAAACGGAAGCCTTGAACATGTGCGGGTGAATAAATGTTGATGCAGAACGACTTCTGAGGCAAACCTGAGGCTTGACGGTGCTTGACGACAGAATTGTGGTGTGTAATAGTGAACCAGTCCTGTTCTGCTTGGAACTCGGCCGTCTGGTTAGACCATTTCGCGGAGAAGTAAGAGATATCACAATAAACCACCGACTAAGAATTAGAAGCTGTTAGAAAGGGAATCACTGGCTCAGGGCGTTGCAGCTGGGTGAGACCAGTTGCGGGGCACGTATGCATGTATGAGGGGTTAGGTAGACGCACACACCGATCTAACTACTATGTCCTCATCTAATCAGTTTAACGCGGCCCCCAAGGTCCAGCCATAAGTTGATGTCTGAATTCAAGCCTTCGTACTGAACAGTCGAAGGGCCAGCCACCTGGTTAACCCCTGCAAGTCGTTCCTTGAGCTCGCCACCACCGGGGCATTGAGTTCCTGCGGTGTGAAAAATGGCAGTCCACGAAATGGCGCTAACGCCCGTGGAGGATTCTCCCAGCATCTCGGAGCTTCCTGCTGTCCCTTACCCCACCCTAAGAGGACGTTATTTCTCATCTGCAAACCAGTTTTCTTCGTCAACCTTTCAGGCACCGTATTTGTCTTCAGCGACGATACATGGCAACAAGCTTTGAACGAATGCGCAACTCACTCAATCAAGCCCCAAACATCGCTGTCAAAGTAGGCCCTTGTAACAGCTTATTCCAGCCCCGACGCCCATTGCCAGATCAGCCTCAAAGCAATGTCCGGCCCTTTATTTGGCATCGTCCCAGCCGGTCAACCACTATTGACAGAGCCAACCTCGGCGCCGTCTGAAACCTCTTTTCTCTACTCAATATCCGCCGCTCGGCCTTTCTCCCATATAACTGTCATGCTCTTACCTGGGATCGTTCTGCCACCAAATACCGCCGCTGCCATCTACTTCGCTTCAGCAACTGATGTTGCTGCTGCCACTGCAACAAGCGAGACGCCCAATTTCAAGTTTCTGGGCGGCATCGGAACCGGGAAGGAAAGCGCCATCTTCAAGATCAACGCAAGTAGCGCCGATGCCGCCCAGAATACTGGCCGTGTTATCATCGGTATTTCAGTCGAGCCGGCTGACTCGGTAGCTGCACGCATGGAAGAGCTTTCCGCGAACCGATTGTCCAACACGGGCTCGGGTGCGGCATCCCAGCCATCAACCCAAATCCTGGCCCAGAACATCATCAAAAATGCGTTCAACTTCCTAGCAAGCTTTAGTGGAAGTGCCGGGCCCGGTGGCGTCGAAATGGTGCCACTCAAGGCATTCGAGGAGTGGTGGAAGAAGTTCGAGAGCCGCGTGCGGTCTGATCCAAGTTTCCTTGAGGGACCACAGAATGATTAACCCTCACTAAGTAGTTCAAATCATTATCACATCCGTAGTAGCTTTAAAAGATACCCATAAACCAAGTTGTTTTGCTCATGTATATCGGTTCATTGGTACAACCCGTCTAATATCTCGTTACTACATCTCGCCGGGAACGGAGTGCGTTCAGCGTATGCGAAACATAAATCACATTCATGGAAACCTCGAGTTCAAAGAGGAAGAACAGTCCCGTCTAGTACATGGCCTGCAACATGCTTAGTGAGTTTCAACGCCAAAGAGCTGCGCCTATCCCAGAGCTACCCGCAAACCACCACCCCAAAAACGCCGTCTCATGACAGAAAGGGTCCAACAAACAAAAATGAAGGACTGGAAATGAAGAGATAACCCTCGCGCCATCGCCATCTACTAGGTAGACAGGACGAACTGCACAGTCCGTTGCGTTGGATAGTGAAGTCTCCGCCTCTTAATCCTCATCCAAAGGCTTCATGAGTGGACTCTTCATCCTCGTTGGGCTTCCAGCGCGACTTCGACGTCCAGCATTCACCAGGCTTGGAACGAGCCTTTCACGGCTCTCCGTCCTCACCGCCAATCCACCTCTGTCTAGAGAGAAGGGCGGTCGCCCGTCATCGAATCTCTCAATGTTGAGCTTTGGCGTGGCCAAGCCAGAGGAACGCCCGGCTCTTGAGCCTTCGCTGCTGTCAGACTGTTCGTTCTCATCGGAGTCGACGTCGCCCAACTCAAACTGATCTGCATCGCCATCTTCCAACACACGTTCATATGTTGCCGAACAGCGCCCGAAAAGCTTGCTGGTGATTGAGAACCCGCGTCCAAACTTCCGAGGGCTACCGGGACGCCTGTTTCCTCGAAGTGCGGAGGCCATTCTGCCAAACCATCGTGTGCGTCGATCGCGCTTTCGGAGAAGAAATCCTACCACTAAGAGAATCACAATGAAGAGTAAGAGACCGGAGCCAGACTTTGACTTGGCCTTGTCCAGTAGCTCATCCGCAGTGTCCCAATCATCGTCATCGTCTCCCCCTGTAGCGATTGGGGAGAATTTGGATCCCGCTGGCTCAAAGTCCGTAGCGCCAGCAACATTGCTGCCAAACCCAACCGGTAGTGCAGCTCCCTGTGGGGGAACCTGACCAGCGGCGTAGAGTACCATCTTCCCCAGGGTCCAGCTGACCTCAATACCATCAATTTCATTGACCGGTTGAAAGGGGTCCATGAATCCCTTTTCCTTCACATCGTCAATGGTCCCTTTCGTGACGTTCAAGCCGGGGTTTGGTGTGTGCTCCAGCCCGGGTCGGGGAATTCCAATGCCTTCATACAGTACGTTGATCAACCACGACGCTTTGAAGCAAGCTTCCTGCGCGTTCTTGGCCTTTTGCGTGGCCGACTTCTTCCGCGCCTCGATGCTAGCCTCGATATCTGCCCAGTCGCGAGTGCAGAAATCCACCACATTTTTCTGGTACGTGGCCAGGTCGTATGCCGTTTTGTGGCTCTTGCTGAAAACGCCGTGAGTCGTGTGCCAGTACTCGGAAACCCCGACGAAGTGGTTCACATCGAAATCAATGCTTGGCACATGCTGGCCATTCAGGAGACAAGGTTCGTCTTCGCAGGGAGTGTCCTTTCCTAACAGCGGCTCGGTCTGTCGGAGACATTCGTCGAATTGGCCAGTACCGACAAGGGATAGTTCATGAATGGCAGCTTTGGTGCTTATAGGATCGCCCGATAGAGAAGACCGCAAGCCAGATGGGAGGCATGGATCGGGGATCTCAAGACTGTCCGGTTTGCCGTACTGCTCCTTGAGGCTTTCGACATATCGCTCACGGGCTCGATTTGCGCCGTATCCTAGCCAAGTTGCTGTGAAGACGCGGTGTTCGATAGTTGACCCATCAAGGGTGCGGAGGCGGACAAGCTTCAAGTCGTTTGCATGCTTCTCTGCCTCGGTACTGTTTGGAGCGAAAGCAATCTGTGCCGATGCGCCTCCCATATCCAAAAAGCCATATGTGTGATGGCCGTTACCGTGTTTGTGTTTGTCGGGATGGTCAAAGCCGCCGAGAAGGTAATTCGTGGCAAGCCAGCCGTATAAACCTTCGGTCTCGCCCGATATGACTTGTATATTTGTGTTGCAGTCAGGTAGTGAGAACATCGTGTTCTCCTGCAAATAGGCGCACATGTTGCGAAGAAGGGCTCGCTGCTTATGCTCGGGAAGAAGACGCATGCCGGCGGTGGCCATGAGATAGACAGGAGTGTCGGCAACTTTCTTATCGGGCACTTCCTTAAGGGCTATGTCGATGAGAGACTGGAGGTGTTCGCGACCAATTTCTTCGGGCTTTTCTGCGAAGGATGACACGCCAGGTCGGATCTTTTGGCTCGTTTGTAGCTTGATCTTGGGCAGACTGTGCAGTGCGTCAATGGAGGCATGTTTGATGGCCTTGGCGTGGTCCTTCCATTTATAGACATAGAGACGCGTCCCCGAAGAGCCCGCATCGAAGATGATACCGTACCGCCCTGTACAAATGAATTGTTACAGTCAGAATACCGCTTCTTTAAACAGATAAATTATACTAAACCAAGTCTTCTCTGCAGAACCTACATTTCTTCCCCATTAGTGGCAGCTGGCGCAGTCGGGCTGCGTGATTGAGAATGCCGTGGGTGACGCAAGGGGTTTTGCGCCGTCGAGGAGAGCACTATGGCAACTGGATGAGGATTTCGCGTGGAGGTAGGAGTTGAAATGTCGCTGGGATCCGATGAGGTATTGAGTGGCTCTGTCAGTTCGTCCAATTCGCCGACGAAGTGTAGCGTGTAGCCGGTGATTTCGCAGGTGGAACGTATTCGAATTTCGAAAGCGATGCAGCCGTGGCGAGATGCGAAAGGTGTTAGTACAGCCAGAAGCGAATAAGTCCAGTGGTGGGATTAAAATAAACGACGACGAAGAACGGCTGCTAAAGTTGAAAATGATTTGTGTCAACAGATGATTTGCGTAGGGTTGAAGCGAGCGTCGGTCATCCTGGAGGTTGTCAGGAGAGATGTAAAGAGAGAGATAGGCTGGCAATTGATTGCTCGATTGATGTACGGAGTAGTCGTGCAGCTGTCCAGGGGGCGGAGCCAAGGCAAATGCGTGGGAACGGGGAGTCTGGGAACGACCTTCAGTTTGGACCGGACTGGACGCTGGTTATGCCAGGGATTGGTGCTCGCACTTAGACTGTCGTGGAAAAGTGTAGGCTTGATTAAAGTGGGGTTTTCTGGCGAGGGAGGGATGCTGATGGAGACGACGCAGTCAGGAACAAACTTGCTTATTAGGTAGGAAGTGAACAGGATGTGGAAAAGTGCAACGCAAGACTGTCTGTCACTGTGGTGTACTCGTGTTGGATTACTGAGGCAACGTGGACAGGAGACGACTCCAGCGACAGTGGCAGGCCGGGCCAAATCTCGCACAGGTACAGGCACAGGCTCGGGTCCAGAAGCCGCTTGGAGTGTAATGATAAGATGGTGGTGGACTGGTGGTTGCAGCACTGGGCTGGTCCTCAAACGGAAGGATACGTAACCATCTGATGTCTACTATGATTGGCCGTGGTCAGTCGAGGTCATATCCGCGTGAGGTACCTATGTACGAACATTCGCCGTCGTTTGGGAACGTCCCGGCTGCGTTTAGCTTTCTCACCTTCAAGCTGGCTTGCTGGGCAGTGCCACTGGAGCAGCAGTTATTTTTATTCCTCCTCACCGGCGAACCCTTTGTCGTGCTTTCCACATCCTTCTCTTCCTTGCATCAGAGGCACGATGGGCTGGCGATGTCTCCGGCACCACCTGTGGTTATGCTCAGGTTGCTCACTCCCTCGCCCTCTGGATCTGCTCCTGGCAATCATGACAAGGATGAAAAGAGACACCGCAATCGCGATCAGCGCCCTTGCACCAGCACTCGCAGCCTATCCGTACAGTACGTGCATGATAACAGTGAAGGTCAGGTTTAACCAATGATTACGCAGTAGTAGGGGTTCTCCCCACCCCCCTCCTCTCCAGTCTCACTGCCGCTACTCGCCATCGCCTCTGTCTGGCCTGTGCACCGTAAGAATTCCTTGATGAGGCACTGAGTAGGGGACCGGTGTGGGTCGACGCTACACCCGCACTGACGCAGCATCGTACATAATGTGCATACATGCCTTGGGTAAATAGTACATAGTCCGTACAGCGATGGGTGCACGGCAACACAGTATATCATTGTATATCATTGGAACCCGGACTTGGCGTATCAGATTGGCTATAGGGATTCCCACGTCGCCCGCTTTCAATCGCAATGTTCCATCCAAATTGCTTTTGTCACGTACTATCCGCCTCAAAGTCTGTGAGGCTGCCACACTGTGTCGTACATCTCCGCGCTTTACTGCATACATATCCGTACGTCGCTGTATCAAGTTGAGACAAGCCTACGGCCGCCGAAGGTACGCGATTGATAGGCCACCATTGAACCCAGTTTCGCCGCCCATTTGCTCTCTGGCTTCCTGCCGTCTTCGGCTTGGTCCGTTTGTCGCGGACTTGACTGCCGTATGTACGGGTTAGAGTTGGCCCCATATACCTGTAGCAAACTGCAAGATAACCAGTGTTGTATTGCTCTACATCATGCCTGATCTTTATGGGTTTGTCAGGTTGGTGGGATAACTTGTCCAACAGGTCGCTGCTAGTATCTTCTTGATGTTTATTGCTTGAAATTTGCCGTTCCCGATCGCGATTCATACATGACTAGCTCGTATCCTAGCCCGTTTCCCTTGTCTTCCCCTTCTCTCTCCTCCCTGACTGTCTACCCCACCCCCCCCCCCCCCCCCCCCCCCAAAAAAAAAAAAATTAGCCTTTATTTCATCCCAGCATTCATCCGCTCTTGTGCCCTTCTCCTACCGACAATGACACTCGATGCCACCGAGCGCCGATGTCCAGTCTAACGTCATCTGCAGCAAACCTACACAAGTTGACAAGGACCTGGGCACTCGTAGCTATTCGCGCCGCAACCGCGCTGCCCGCCGTCCGTGTCTCATGTCATCTGGGTTGAGAGCCCGCAACCGCCCACCGCAGTCCAAGCTTGTCAATTCCCAAGCGCCTGGTACACTGTTCAAAGCCAGCAGGCTTTGAGCTTCCAGTCCATTCCGTTTGTTTCGTCTCTCTCGCAATATCATATTTGAGCGTCACCGTTTCTTTGGCTGATAGGCTTCGCGATCGCCACGCCAGCCATGGATAAATGCCCCAGTTGCCAGAGCCATTTGCTGTGACTCTCGCCAGCGAACTATCTAGGACGCCCCACGTCCGTCGTGTTTGTCCCGCGATGTAACACAGCTGTGATTGATCACGTACTTGGGATGTCAATCAGGGCCCTTTGTCTGCATTGTCGTCTCCTGCCGAGATGATAAATTGATCTCCTAGACAGACATGATAGTAAGCGTTGTTCTCAACCCGCACCAGGCACATATGGTCTCTCATTTGCTGATTATCATAAGAGTGTACAAACTTACTACGGACTGATTTGCATACATCACCATACTTGCTACTCAAGTGATGTCATCTGCAAAGAGCTTCCGAAACTCCTGGCCTTCTCACGACAACCGCTACTCTATGTCTCTGGGCAACTGAGTCATCTCCCAAAGTGCGCAAAGTGCGCAAGTTGAGATGGAATAACCGGTCATCGCTTCCCCTCGCCTGCTCGCTCATAGTTGGTTTGTTCCGTCATTATTATATACCACACGTCATGCCTTGTGGTCGTATTATTCACATGCTTGTCAGGGGTCCGAAAGCAGAAGGTACCAGAACTGGACGGCTGGCAACTGTGTCTAGCCATTAGCAGGGCGTGGGAGGCGGCTGAGGCTATTCGCATACCTTTGTGATGTGGTGTGGTTTCTCTAGGCTCCGCCGGCCCGTTACCAGTCTGGCTGGCCCTAATCCCAGCAGACAGGCCGACCCCCAATCCGCGGCTCCGTGCTGAGGAGGGATTTCGTTGGGCTGTATAACCAGCGTGGAGGTTAGAAAACCCACGGGTTAATGGCGTTCCAGCAGGCAGTCTGGATGTCGTTGACAGCCTATAACCACGGCCACTATCAAAACTTTGTCCTTGGGATGCTCCGCGTGGGGTTTGCGGTATGCCCACTATTTAAGTCAGAGGCATTTCCCAATATACCGGCGGAAGTCGGACTAACCGGAGGTAGGGCCAGGCCTGGACCATGGTTCCTCTTCCCGGGACGCAATGGAGCCATACCGTCCGTAGACCCTAATCGGACCCGCGTGGCGTTGGGGATCAAGGTATGTAGGCTCCTGTTGATGTTCGCACAGACCCTGTGTTGTGTTTGGACCTGGACCAAGAAGCTGGAAGTCAACTGCATCTGATGCGGCAGCCTCCACTTGGCCCATTTCGACTCTCTGCTTGACCTTGTCGTACAAGTCCTGAACTTGGTTAAGTCTGCGACACTTGTCCTTGTAAAGCTTCCCCAGCTCTTCATACTTCCTGCGCAAGTCACTATAGCCGAGAATCTGGGCTGTTCTGAGATTAATTCGTGCAGTCAGGAGGCGGGGCATCATACTCCAGATCGCGTACCTTGGAACCTCTCCTGCAAGGTTTCCTTTTCTTCGATTACTTCGCTGATCGCACTTTGGTGCCTTCTTTCCATTGTCTTGAGCTGGGCAGTCATTTTCTTGACGGTTTGGCGCTGGAAAACGCTACGCGACGTCAGCAAAGTTTTCCTTTGGGGAGACAACGGACGCACTCCTCTTGGCTTGTTTGGTATGCCCAGAAGCTCAACGCTCTCCCGGTGCATTCCATGATTACAGTTGGACTCAGTCCACTCAGAACACTAGTTTTGTAATCCTCGTTCAGGTTCAAATTGGCCAGGACAGCGTCATCAGGTCCTTGGAGCCCAGTCCGACAGGCTGGGCATTTTCTCTGACGGTCGGAGTCTGGACCTGAGAGACCATGTCTGGCGGCACACTCGACGCAAAAGATGTGACTTTTCAAATCATCAGAGTATGAGCTCCCTCGTCCTTTCCCACTTTTGCTTGGTTAGGTTGGCTCACCTGCAAGTAGTGACTAACGCCTGTTGCCCAACCTCCCTCCGGCACTCTCTTACGTTGCATCTAAGTGGGTGCTCCATTGGGTCATTCGGCTAGGGCTGTGTGGCAGAAGTTGGCTGCAAAAGCTTGGATGTTGTTGATGCGGCGACGACACTCCGGTAGTTGCTGGCCGATAAGACGAATCCGTTCTTCGGATGTGAACTAGACCCAGCTTGAAGATTTACAACAACCGGAAGGGCGTCGGAGGAAATTTACCAAAGCGACGCTGGCATCAACGATTCCCCGCTTCTCAGAAGGGAACATGGATGCGCGAGGGGAAGGAGGAACGAGTGTCAGCAAGTGGCAGGTGAGGTCGATTCCAACATTCCGCATGGGTGTAGGTGTGGATGCAAGTGCAGGTGCAAGTGCAAGTGCAAGGCTGTAGGGAGCTCGAGGCTGCCCGGTTGTTCCATTGAAGATTCTTACCTACGTTGGGTTGCTGGAAGTCACTGCCTAGTGCAGTGTCCTCCCGTTTGTCACACCCGGTACCGGACGACATGCTGAATGACGTGCGTCCACCCACGTCTTGTATCGAAACATAACTAGTGAAGAGTGAGAGTAACAATTACTTGCTCTGCCTTCTCTTTATGGAGTAGCCGTGTTCCCTCTTGCCACGCCCGTTTATAGCCTTTGCTTGGTGAGAAATATTCCGCGGGACTCACCACCTGGGATCGGTGTTGGGGTCTGGGAGGTTCCGGCTGATGTTGGCATGTTCGGAAGGTTGGGTGCGGGGCCGTCGCCGGAGCCTGAAGTCCGGACGTCTCCGCAATGGGGGCGTTGGGGTTCATCGCTACGGGATGGTTCGCCGATCCGTGGCAGATGTTTTCAAATCCAAGCCTGCATGACATCGCAGTCACTCCACCTCGTCTACTGCCGTCCAGACATCGCAACGCAAACGCAGTTACAACCACATCAGCCGGTATCTCGGGCCTACGCACACACAAAACCATGCCCAACATTCCATTCTCGTGCTCGTCATCATGGACGCGTATTTCTACTTTTCTTACACTATGTCTATCGTGCACAATTCTTCTACAGCGCTTCCCTGCATTGCGCAGGCTGGCTGATTCTTGTCACATATGGTTGCCGCAACTTGCCATTGAGACTCGGGCTAGACGAGAAAGCAGCCCCAATGGCAGAGCAATAAGCGCATGGATCATAGGACAACTGGGTGTGGGGTGATTCACTGCCGGGCAAGCAAAAATCGATGCGGCCCGACAATCCAAACAACCATCTGGTGGTCCTCCACTTTCACATTTATCCGCCCAATTGCAACGATATTTTTCAGATACCTATACATCCACCTGCGCGCCCTAAAATGTTTCCGGCATGACCAGACTCTGCCTCCAGGAATGCTCTTCCTTCTAACCGGATGATCGGGGAATATGGCCGTGTGCCCTTTGACTCTGACTATGGAATCTCAGCTCCCCACCTAAACTACGTCCAGGCGCATCTGTTCACCCTGCAAAGTGTGCTGCGGGCTTTACATTCGCATTCTTGCTCCATTCCTCAGATATGTCCGGCTTCGCTGTTCAACACGTGCCAATATTCCCCTCTGCTGTTCCAACCGTCTCCCTCGGCCCATCTACAACCGCGTCAATATGCTCGGATTGCTCACTTGTTCACCTTGCTTACCAATGCCTAGCGCTCATGCAATGATAACTAAAGCTGCCAGCAAGTCTGCCTTTAGCTTTGTCGCATGACGCTGTTCCCATGACTAGTCATAGCAAATTTCGATGGCAGAGACTGTCTTCTCAGATTTAGGAAATGCCTTCTTTGGACATATCGGTGCAAAGTCTCTGGTGGTACTAGGCCGAGAATCCAGTCACTATCCATGGATCGGGTACAACTGGCCGTGGTTGATAGTTATCTTTATGGTAAAATTTCCTCTTAGATGTCATCCCCAGTACCAGTGTTCACGTGTACATTCATCATCGTGGTCCTCGCCTTCATGGTGTCATGGGATTATTTACGATGATTGACTCCCGAATACTGCTCACCGTGGTTAACTGTTCGACTCATAGATAAAAAGGCCGTAGTAGTACAGTATGCAAGTATGTCAATATTTATGCAAACAGCTACTACGGCTGGTTGCCCAGCTGGCCAGCGTCCTCGCCGTCGTTGGTAGCCAATGCCAGGTTTTCACGCTAGACCTGAGGCCAAAAAGGGAATTATGTACAGAGAAAGAGAGATCCATACGAATAGAGAAGAAGAAAAAGCCATCTCAGAGGCTTGCCCCTTTAGGGGCCGAAGAAGTTGCTGTCCATCGGCGCGGCCTGGCCACCTATCATGCCGTACTCCATGCTCATCATCTGCTCATTGACATGGTATGGAGCAAATTCCACGCCGTGATCAGGACTGTGACCCCAATACATACCGTCTAGGTCCCAGAGACCATGCTGGTCAAGCATGCCCATTATGCCCATCCCTTCCGGCTCCAGTCCGATGGGTGACATATGCAGCTCCGTCTCGGTCATCATTAAGCCCTGCTCATCTCCAATAGCTTGCAAGGGGCTTTCTGACCGCATTGAGGGTTGTCTAGACGCATCATACATTCGCCACACCACCTCGCGGCTTCGGCGTGCTGCCAGGGACCAGTCCTCCATAGCTTCGAGAAGATCCAAGATCGTCTCGATCTGCTGGTGCCACTCGGGAACGCGTGGGCTATTCCACTGCCAGAACACACTCACAAGTGGTATCATAGCAGCCTGGTAGAGGAACCATACAGCGTTCCATCCGGACATTTGATTCCGAGTCCATTCTCGCGCAATGTCCTCGATCGTCTGCTTGGCGAGCTCACGGCACGTCTCAACAGCGTCAACATCTTGCTCTGCGACTTGGGAGGAAGCGACGCTGCTGGCAATGCTGAGCAGGACTGGTCGATGGAGAAGCATGCGGAGATTTTGATAACGCCACTTCATAATACACCTGGCCATGTACAGTGGCTCTGCACAGGGATCGGTCGTCCTCAACAACCATGGCAGATTGCCATACCAGTTGACCAGCTGACCATCCAGATTGCAGCGATCTTCTTCCCGCAGCAAAGGAGATATTGCCAACATGTCTTGTATCTGAGTGGCTATCTTGCAGAACTTGATGTTCTCGATCAGTGGCAGAATACCGGCGTGCTGAGCAGAGTCTCGGGCCTACAAAGACAACTGTTAGCTCCTTTACCACGCTTGCGACGGCACTTATTCGGTCACTTACTTGGTTGATTCCAAACTCCGGGGGCCGAATGTTGATCGCGGGCCCCCAACGGCCAAATGATGGCCGGCCCATCGTAGTTGTAGCCCAAGTGTCAAGACAGAACAAGCTCCACCATGTACGGCGCCGGGTTTCGGCAGCAGCGATGTCACTGGATCCCTGCGCCAGGCTCTCGCGATGAAGGCCAAGAGCACTCGCCATTCTAATTGCCGCACCAAGAACAGCGTTTGCCATGTTGGGCCTGTTGATATAGTGAAGATAATAACCGCCAATTAGAGCCAAGGCCTGAACGCTCTCAATGTGGCTACTTCCAAAGGCATCTACTGGAAGATACTCCATGGCCCTGTTGTAATAGTTGATGTGATTGTAATCGTCCGACTTCATGGCCACGACACTGCCCATGGCAAAAACCATATTGAGCAGAGCCAGCCATGGTGCGTCAAATCGCTGGCCTTCGAGGTAGTCAGCACGGAACGAGGCTTCATCCAGCATGGGGACGAAAACATGGATGCGCTTGAAGTAGGCATCAATGAGGGTCTGTCCCTTCCACGACCAGGGAATGCGTTGAGTGTCCTTGGATATGGTGCCCCTTACTCGCGTAGTCGGGAAGTTGTGGGTGACTTCGACGCTGTGGAGCGGGGTGGTGAGAGAATTTCGCAGCGCGGGCTGAACTTTGAGCAAACACATTAGGGCTGCCTTGATTGACGAGGCGCCCAGGTAGGATGATTGCCGATCCACAGACAGGGAGAGTGCGTTGACGTCGTCGGCTTCAATGGGAATGGGGTCGCGGCCACGGCGTTCCTCATCCCACTCAGCGTTTCGCCCCGGCATCAATTCAAGACTGGTAAGACCCTGCTCAGAGCCTGAGCAGACAGGAGACTCGAGCTCTTGGGAGAGAGGAGACGCATGGAGAGGGGGAGAGGGAAGCGCGGTTGGGGTGTTATGAACGGGTCGTTCGAGGAGGCTTAGTAGCTCCTGGCGAGAGAGTGGCAGTAGAGATGGGACGTCTTGGCCTGGGAACAGGCGCTTCAAGATGGAGCGGCACTCTTCGAGGGACTGTGACAGCGCCTCGAGGGTCTTCCTCGAAGGAATGACGCGTT